TAGGGTGTGTGGGGGGTTTTTTAATTTAAATGAAAGAAAGGTATGAAGTTGTATATGTACGCCAGCCCCCGAGGTGGTAATGGAAACATGGGAATAGAATTTTATTTTAAATTAATCCCTGGATTCCCCCTCCCCCCGCCCCCTACTGAGGTCCTTGGAGATGTTTGCCTCTGTGGGTGATGCACAGCGGTTCCCATCTGTCAGATGAAATGCTTGCTTGCGAATAGGCTGAAAATGCATGTGGCTGCAGATTTCAAAGATTCATTCATACGTTGCCAGAAAAGGGCCTAAATATTTAAAATGTCACTTTTTAAGCCCTGAATCATTTTGTCCCCGTAACCAAAAGGACTGCTGGGAACATCCACGAGACAGCCTCACCCATGGGTATTCTTCTTCCCGCGTGCAGAGTCAATAGCCAGAAGCTTTGTATAGGAAGCTGAGGAAATTTGGTTTAACTGCAGCCAACCATTTAAAGTCCTCCTTCTCTAAAGGCAGGCTTCACAAGAACACAGCCCCCTCTTCCCATCGGATGGGACCATCTGGACCCAGCCTCAGAGCGGCTTCGCGGAGCCTGCCCGCTCTGTGCCTGAGCTCAGGAGAGGACTGGGGAGCCAGGTTCCAGCAACAGCTGCTGCCCTTGAGCTCAGACAGCCCTTTACACCCACCTCTGGATCCTGATCCTAAAATGCACATCAGGATCACCTATAATGTATGGTGACAGGTGGCTACTAGACTTAACAGGGTGGTCACTGTTTAAAGCAGGGGTCCTCAAACTACAGCCCGCGGGCCACATGCAAATACAAATATTGTATTTGTTCCCGTTTTGTTTTTTTACTTCAAAATAAGATATGTGCAGTGTGCATAGGAATTTGTTCATAGTTTTTTTTCAAACTAGATCACCTATAATGTATGGTGACAGGTAGCTACTAGACTTAACAGGGTGGTCACTGTATAAAGTTTATAAATGTCTAATCAACTATGTCGTATACCTGAAATCAACATACAGCATGTCAACTGTAATTGAAAAATAATACAAACGTTAAGTAAGAAATCACCTAGGGTAGCATGAAGGGAAGGAGACTTTAGAAAATGCAGGTTCCTGGGCCCCCTCCCAGCCCCGCTGCTGGGACTCTCCACAGATGGAGCCCAGGAAGCAGAGTTCTGAAAGTTCCTCCGGGACCCTAATGAGCAGCCGGGCTCTGGAAGCAGGGGCCTCTTAGCCCTGATGAGGTAACAGGGAAAGATATCACTGCTCAAGTATTTCCTGCAGCTTCTGGTGCCTGAACTCCCCCTTCAGAGAGAGGCCCATTTCTATAGCACTCCCCACTCACGCATGAACCACATTTTAAAACAGGCCAGACAACCAGCTCCCGCTTCTACTTAAATATTTCTAAGCACTCAACCCTGTGAGTCTGAACTCTAACATTTTGAGACAAACCTAAGTGGCCTCTCTTTTTAAATGCCCTTATGGAATGGGAGAAAATATTTGCAGACCATCTATCTGATAAGGGGCTAATATCCAAACCATGTAAGGGGCTCATACAACTCAACAGCAAAAAATAACAACAATAATAATCTGATTTAAGAATGGGCAAAGGACCTGAATAAACATTTTCCCAAAGAAGACATGCAAATGGCCAATAGGTACATGAGAAGGTGCTCAGCATCAGTAATCATCAGGGAAATGCAATTGAAACCACAATGAGCTATTACCTCACACCTGTTAGAATGGCTATCGTCAAAAAGATAAGAAATAAGAGTTGGAGGAAAAGAAACATTTATACACTATTGGTGGGAATATAAATTGGTGCGGCCACTATGGAAAAGATTATGGCGGTTCCTCAAAAAATTAAAAGTAAAACTGCCCTATGATCCAGCAATTGCACTTCTGGGTATAGATCCGAAGGAAACGAAATCACTATCTTGAGGAGATATCTGTACTCCCATGTTTACTGCAGCATTATTTATAATAGCCAAGACATGAAGCAACCTAAGCATCCATCGATGGATGAATGGATAAAGAAAATGTGGTCTATATCTATACATAATGAAAGATTATTCAGCCATAAAAAGAAAATCTTGCTGTTTACAGCAACATGGAAGGACCTTGAGAATGACAAATATTGTACAATCTCACTTATATGTGAAACCTAAAAAAGCAAAACTCATAGAAACAGAGAGTAGAAGAGTGGTTGTCAGGGACTGGGCAGTGTGGGAAACGGGGGTATAGTGGTTAAAAAGTACAAGCTTCCAATTATAAGATGAATAAGTTCTGGGGATGTAATGAACAGCATGATGATTATAGTTAATAATAGTGTAGTATATACTTGAAAATTGCTAGATCTTAAATGTTCTACACACACACACACACACACACACACACACGGTAATGATGTGAGGTGATGGAAGTGTGAACTAATTTTATTGTGGCAATCATTCTGTAACATAAGACCATCACATTGTACCCCTTAAACTTACATGATGTTATATGGTAATTATGTCTCAATAAAGCTGGAAAACAAACATTTTAATGCCCTTACTCTTAAGGGACATTTTAAGCTGTTGTTTATACCTAAGTATGAATGAGGTTCAATTTTTTTTTTTTAAGACTTGATCTTACAGACTTTCCATGTGCCTGAACTTGGCTTGAGCAATAATGATTCTAATTCTGTCGGGTTATGAAATGTTTCCAGGCCCATGATCTTCACATTTGATTTCCAGCAATCCTCTCACAGTTGTTACTGCCTCCACCTTCTAGATGAGAAAACTGAGGGTCAGAGAGTTTTAAAGATTTGCTCTCAGACCTGGGGCCAGCAAATGCTACAGTTCGGAGAACTCGGGTTCTGGCACAGCAAGAAACATTTCTACCAGATGCGTGAACCTGCCCTACAGTACCCCACCCCAGCCGCTGTGGAGTCTCTGCTTGCGCATCTCCAGTGAGGGGGAGCGCACTTCTTCCCGGGGCTGGTCCAACCCTCCTCTCTCAGGTGGTAGGAGCCTGTTGTATAAGACAAGGAGCCAGGAGAGCATCCACACTGAGACAGCAGTAATGAGGGCCACAGGGACTGCTGACTAAGTGACCCACCCAATGGGCCGTCTTCCACCTGACAGCCAATGCCAAGCTGTGCTGACACCGACTATGCCCATCTTGAAACATTTTTCTCCCCATCCTCCATTCCAGAGCTGTGTCCAAAAGCCCCAGAGCCCAGGGAAGAACCAAGAACCCCAGAAATGGCCCGACCAGCGTGGCTCAGTGGTGAGCGTCGACCTAGGAACCAGGAAGTCACAGTTTGATTCCCGGTCAGGCTGGATCCCCAGTGTGGGGCGTGCAGGAGGCAGCCGATCAATAATTCCCTCTCATCATTGATGTTTCTCTCTCTCTCTCTCTCCCCCCATTTCCTCTCTGAAAACAATAAAATATATTTTTTTAATTTTTTAAAAAAACAAAGAACCCCCAGAAATGACTGGGCCTAAGGTTGAGGCAATTTAAGGAAGATGCTTTGAATCCATTGTTAGGAGTTTGGAGGGGAAACCTTTCCAGATTTTCCAGTATCGTGACTTGCCCACAACTGTGGTCACTCCAGACACCATCTGCACAACCCACCGACATCCCCCACCTCAGTGGGATCCTCAGGGACCTCACAGCACCTGGGAGGGTGAGAGGGAAAGATCAGGCCTGAGCGCTGATGCCAGAGGGACCACAATGACACTTACACCAGCCCCGGGGACAGACTTTGGAGCACAGTTTGGGGGGCATGCTACCCTCCGGGCAGTTTAGTGAAGCAGAGTGCTGAGGAGATGGGGAGAGCATAGAGGGAAGGACTCCTGGGGGTTAGCTGAGGGAGGCCAGGGAGGCCCTAGACAACAGCGCAGTGGTCTCAGGACCTTCCTCGGGCTCGTCAGACTTAACTGCAGTTCTTCCAGATGAGGAAAAAGCAGAAAACCGCACAATGGATCGTCTGAAAGACTTCTGATAGCTCTCACGACACAGTCATTCCCTGTCCCCCGTTTTCTCTGCAAGTGGAACTCCAATTTGTTTATATGGCAGATGGAGACCTTCACCTCAGAAGGAGCACCAGCCCCAAAGGATGAGGTGAGATGGGCGATCTCATCACCCTTGGCTAGTGATTGATGTAGTGACTGATGTAAGAGTGAGCACATGTCACTGTTCTGGTAATAAACTGAATCAAGAAGTCAGCTTTAGAGAACGTTCTTTCCTAAGTGAAAGGGCAAAGCCTCCTGAAGAAAAGCTCTCCCTCTCTCCCCACTTCCTGCCTGGAACATGGTTGTGATACCTGAGGGTGTAGCAGCCACTATGTAACCATGAGACACAGCCAACATGCCAAAGATGCAGAGTCAAAGAAAGTAAAAGCCTAGGTCTTCAATGACACTATGGAACCACTCTGCCAGTGTCAGATACCCAACCTCCATGTGTCTTGCTATGTGAGAATTATCTCTGTCTATTTGCTTAAAACACTCTAATTGGTGTGTGAGGGTTCAGCATTCAACTTTCAACTGAATGCTGTACTAACTAACATAGCCATGTGGGTAAGGTAGAAATATAATTACTAATGTAATTCGTTTATTCATTCCACAAGTATTTGAGTTTCTACTACATATTAGGCACTGTCCTGGCCACCAAAAGGACACACTCCTGCCCTTGAGACACCTGTATTCCAGTGGGGAGGAAAAGACAGAGGTGATTGAGAAAATAAATACATAAAAGATGTATATGTTATGTGGTGACAAGTGCTATGGTGAAACATAAAGCAAAAAAGGGGGGCATGGAATGCCAGGGCTGGGAGAGGGGGTGCAGCTTCAAAAAGAATGGTCTGAAAGACCTCACTGAACAGGTGATATCTGAGCTCAGATTTGAAGGAGGTGAGAGAGAGCCAGGCAGAGGGAAGGGCAGCCTGTGCGTGCTGACGGGGAGAGCATGCCTTCCTGGAGGTAGGCTGTGCCATTCGGCTGCAGGGCTTGCCCCCAGCCCTTCAACTTACTTCTCAGTGGCTTGGAAAAACATCTAGAGTACAGCTCAGAAGATCCCTGAAGAAGATGCAGTCCAGTGGAATGGGATGAGGGTGTCAAAAGATCTTGACAGGCTGGAGCAATGGACTGAATGGACAAAGATGAAAGGTAACAGGGATCAAGGTCAGTGACTATGCTTTTCATCCAAAATATCAACAGCACAACCCTAAGTGGGGAAAGACATGGCAGTCACGGGAATGAGGAAAGCCCGGAATTGTTCCACAGCAGGAAATTCAACAGAAGGATGTTCACTGGAAAATTTAACAATGCAGTCTCCATCTTCTTCTCAGTGGACATGTTTTTTTTTTAATATATTTTATTGATTTTTTACAGAGAGGAAGGGAGAGAGATAGAGGGTTAGAAACATCGATGAGAGAGAAACATCGATCAGCTGCCTCCTGCACATCTCCTACTGGGGATGTGCCTGCAACCCAGGTACATGCCCTTGACCGGAATCGAACCTGGGACCTTTCAGTCCGCAGGCCGACGCTCTATCCACTGAGCCAAACCAGTTTCGGCTAAGTGGACATGTTTTAAACGAGGGTGCCAGCCCTACTCTCTCTGTACAGGTCAGAACAGATGCCCCTAGAGGCCAGTGTTCAAGCTAAAAAAACAGACAAGCTGGAATCCACTCAGGCGCCCTGGGGTGGCCCCTCTGGGGAAGGAGCTAGGGAGCAGGAGGAGTGGGCGCTTGGAAGGACACGCCTCCATTCTCTTACTCACAGACGTCCAGGGAGCACCTACTATGTGCCAGCCACTTTGTTGGTTCTGGGAATAGAGAAGTGGCCTCACAGAGCATCCAAACAGCAACAATCCCACCAGTGGCTGCCACACTTTTGAAAACAACCCACAATAAGAAGTACACTTGACACCATGACCCGCTAGATACCAATGTGTATACCTATGTGCAGTCGCTCTTCAGGCCTGGCCGCTCTCCCTCTCTCCCCTTCCAAGAGTGCGCTTTCACTTTAACAAATCTTGCCACTGCAGCTTGTAAAAAAAAACAAACGCATGCATATATGTGTAAAACAGAAACAAAGCCACACAAAGTTATATTTACCTATGCTACACATGAGGCAATCAAAAAATTTCTATTTTAAAAATTTTAAAATGGGATTGGGGGCCCACTGAACTGATTCAGTGACCCACTTGTGGCTTGCCACCGCCATCAGCAATGTGGAAAACACTGAACTATACCAGGATACATGCCATAACATGGAACGAGCAGGTGCGAGGGCAGCAAAGACCAAGGGTCAGGGTTGACCATTCTGAGAAGTAATGTTTGAGACCAGAAGAGGGGCCAGGGGACAATCAGACATTTTACAAAGAGAATGGCCCAATTGTGGTGATGGTCGTACAACTATGTGAATGCACTTAATACCACTGAAATGTGCGCTTTAAAATGGCTAAAATGGTAAATTTTTTGTAACATATACTTACTTTATCACAAAAAAATTTTTTAGACTTAGAGAGAGAGAATGCCCACAATCACTGCCTTTAAATAGTGTAGGGCTGTGTGGCTTCATGAATACTATGCAGTGTTGTAAAGGGAACTGCTGCCACACACAGCAACATGGCAGTAAGCTGAGCTCGAGAAGACAGACCCGGAGTGCGGACTGTATGACTCTATTTACATGGAGTTCAAGGACAGGCAAAGCCAATGGGTGGCAATAAAAGCAAAAATGAGAGTCACCTCTGGGAGGGGAGATGGTATTGACTGGAAGGAGCATGAGTCGCCATCCAGGGTGATAAAAATGTTCTATCTCTTGACCTGGGTGGGCGCCACCCAGGACTATCCATTTGTAAAAATTCATCGAGTTGTACATTTAAGATTTACACCCTTTACTGCTTGTAGATTATGCCTCAATAGGAAAGGAAAGAAAGTATTTTTTAAAGAAAATGAACATTTAAAAAAGAAAAGAAACATGATCAAATCACTTCGTGGATGGAGGTTAAGTTCAGAAGTTATCAAGTAAAGAAAACATTGCATAGTCAGAATTGCCCTTGCGATCTCTTAAATCACCCATGAAGATTCACATACATGGGTGTATACGACCCTGTAACATAACGCTTATGCACTCTAAAGTTTGAATAACACTAAGTTTGACAAAGGCTAGAAAAAAAGGACATTGAGGCATGGATGCCAGGGCCGCAATCACCTTTCTTTACAGTAACTGTCACTTCGTGTTGGGTAGCAGGGGAGGGCGGAGGAAATCTAAAGGGCCTGCCCACCCATCCAGGCTTGTTCTGTCCTGCTTTAACTTTAAGCCACTATAACCTGTTTAGTGATAAAATTGATTTGCTCATTGTAGAGAGAATGAAAGGAGCTGGGTTCTGAAGCTAGCCATTACTCTATCCTTAGGTTCCTTTCGTTTGGCCCCAAGGAAGAGAAATAAGATGGAAACACTAGGAAGAAGGATTCCAGCGTGAGAGAAGAAAGAGCTTGTGAACCAACGTGGAGGAACGCTCCAAAGATGGGCTGGTAGGTAGTGAGTTCCCCGTCAGCAGAGGCGATGCATGAGCTGAACACTTGGACCCGGTGACGTTGACGCCCCTTCTCTCCGGGAGCTTCTGAGCTGGCCAGATCCCCTGGCTCCCTCTCCTGGGCATGTCCCTTCAGCCCACAGCTGCCTTGACAATGAGACGTGGAACTGGTGAGAGGTTCCCGCCAGGGACTGCAGGTGGCTGTCCTAATAGAGGATTGCTCTGCTGCCCCTGAGAATTTACGGCCTCCCTCCTGAGTTATGGGGAGGCGGGCAGAGCCTATAAAAAGGCGCCATCCAGGCTGTGGGGTGCCCGGGGCATCAATCAGCCACAGTCTGACCACTGGAGCAGAGTGAAGATCAGTCTGCTGGCTTCTCACCTATAAATTCTCCCTCCTGCACAGGATGAGCAAATGTGTCATATTTAAGAGATGCGTCTACCATGGTTTAATTCCAAGGATGTATGTGGCGGGTGGGGGAGAGTGAGGAGGAGACAGCCCTAAATGTAGCCTTCATTTGTCCTCATCTCCCATCAGAGCCCCTAAACCCACCTCCCTCCAGTCCTATCCCTAAGCAAATGGTGCTGAGTGAGCAGATGCCAAAGAACCATACACCTGGGAGCAGGGCTGTTGGCTGGGGTAAGGGACCCAGTGTGACCTGAACGAGGCTGAAAGCACCAAGGTGGAGCCATCATACCTCTTCTGGAGGCTGGGAGTGGGCACCCTTCCTGCATCTTCTGTTACAGCAAGGACTGAGGTAGGAGAGCAGAGAAGGGCCGGACTGCCTTGGACTCAGGGTCGCTGCACTGCACAGCTCTGCAGGCGCCTTTCATATCATTGCCAATGTCAAAGGACGTGTGCAGTCACAGCCCAGACGGCTGCACGCGGCAGTCCTGCTGGACGTACGTCGTAGGCCTTTCTTCCTGAGGATGGAGTGGTGGAGAGAACACTGAACCAAGAGTCGGGACCGGGTTCAACGTCTAGCTTCTTCTCTGACTTGCCGAGGGCCCTGGGCCAGTGCACCGCTTCTCTGAGCCTGTGAAATGGGGACATTAATTCCTGTCCTGCTGGACCTTTCTCAACAAGCCAGGCGTGTCTCCTGTGGGCTTTGCGGAGTGTGGATAGAGGGCAACTTCTATAGGTGACCCTTTCAGAGTCCATTCAGACCCCAGTCCCAGTTCTTGGCCAGCCTGTGACCGGCTGCCTTTTCGGGGGCCACACCTTTCTGACACAGAACCTACAAGCGCCGACAGGATGCACAGCCACGTGTAGGTGCTCCATAATTTCTGAACTAAAACGCAGTACATTTGTCTGACAACCAGAGAGAACCCTTGAAATTGGAACTGTCCCAGAAAGCCGGGGGCCATCTGCTGCCAGGCCCAGGCAGGTGATTGCAGCTGCCAACAGCTGTGCCCACCAGGGGGAGGGTCTGGGGGCAGGAGGAGCAACAACAGAGTACAGGCGAGCTTCCTTGACAGCCCCCCATCTCCAGCTGCTGGGAGACTCCGGGAGAGCTGGCCACCCTCTGAGTGTGCACCGGCTCATCCTCACACTAGGGCAACACCCTGGCCTCCCCTCACAGCACTTTAGAAACAATATTCTCAAAAAAAAAAGGCATAATTTTTGAAGAATTTGGGCTTAGCTGCTGAGAACAATAACCAAAAAGGGGGGTGGAGGGGGACAGGACAGGGCCCTCAGCAAAACCGCTCTGGTGCCATAAGGTCCCCCAGGCCCTCCATATATCTGCTCCCTGCGTGATCTCGTCCGGCTCAGCTTTAAACACCATCAGTAGTGACAGCACCCAGATTCATAGCAGCAGGCCCTCGCCCCCGAGCTCCAGGTCCATACCAACTGCCTGCTCGACATCTTCCTTTGGCTGGTTAACAGGTTTCTCAAACTCCACATCAACACAGTGGAACTTGGTCCCCCTTCCTGACAGCCCCCCATCTCCAGCTGCTGGGAGGCTCCGAGAGAGCTGGCCGCCCTCTGAGTGTGCACCGGCTCATCCTCACACTACGGCAACACCCTGGCCTCCTCTCACAGCACTTTAGAAACAACATTCTCAAAAAAAAAAAAAAGGCATAATTTTTGAAGAATTTGGGCTTAGCTGCTGAGAACAATAACCAAAAAGGGGGGTGGGGGGGACAGGACAGGGCCCTCAGCAAAACCGCTCTGGTGCCATAAGGTCCCCCAGGCTCTCCATATATCTGCTCCCTGCGTGATCTCGTCCGGCTCAGCTTTAAACACCATCAGTAGTGACAGCACCCAGATTCATAGCAGCAGGCCCTCGCCCCCGAGCTCCAGGTCCATACCAACTGCCTGCTCGACATCTTCCTTTGGCTGGTTAACAGGTTTCTCAAACTCCACATCAACACAGTGGAACTTGGTCCCCCTTGCCCCAGGGTTTGCCACCTTGGGGAGGACACCAGCTGAGCCACACACCAGCATCTCTCACCTGCAGAAGTTTCCTAACCTCCCCCATTCAGTCTCTGCTCTACCCAGCAGCCAGGGAGAGTGTCTGAAAACACAAATCAGATCCTGTTGCTCCTCTGGTG